CTATTTTAGGGGTGTTCAGTGCTGTTTTTGCGACTTCTCCGATTCGGCCACAAGATCACTGGATGTCGTCGAGGTCGTTATCCATGATTGATGCCAGGAAAGCCATACCAGCAAGCAACGAACACGACGGCGCACGCAAATCCCTCAAACACCAAATAGTTAGGAGTCCAAGGAAAAACAGAGAGCTCTCGTGGACATCGAAAGCTCGGTAGATGGAGAAGGCTTTTGCTTCGAGAAACAGCCATGCCGTATATCAACCGATACGATCGACTGGCACTAGAAAAGCAACAGTCAGCGAAACAATAAGTGGGAAAGTTGATTCATTAATTCACTCGCCGACTGGAAAGGTGAGCCAGACACTTCAAAGAACAGTCCAGCTGGCCTCTGCAACACATCCTGTGGAGATACTACATACGGGGAATGGAATGTAAACCTTGACCGCCCCTCGGAAGGGGAAACAAAGTCCGAAGTACCTGCACTAAAATGTGAAAAGGCATTAGGACCGGATGGTCTGTATCCAGCCCTCTTCAGAGAAGGCGGAGAATTCCTGACGATCCATATGACAAAGCCAATTGATGCTATATGAAACGAAGAGAAGTTGCCTGCAGAATGGGGCATGTTGACAATTACTTCTGTCTTCAAAAAGGGTACTCGGACGCTGTGTGAAAACCACCGTGGCACCAGCTTCTTAGCTGTGGCATCGAAGGTGCTCTCTGGTCTTATCCTTTAAAGGTTGACTGAACACAGGGAGAGACAGATGCATGGCTGTGATATTTTGTTTACATATATATTGCTTTCAATGATATTGACAATGATGTTATTTAAAAAATTGTTTGTCTTATGTCTCGTATAGCATAGATCTTTAGACATGTGGAATTCAAGTTATACGCCATCGATCAATTTCGGTAGTCTGCTTTAGTTCTACCACCGTAAAAGGGGGCTATACATATAACTATGACCTGCCAGTTAGCTGTTGACTGCTTCTATGGAAGCTTGATTTTTCGCTTGTCTTTTCAGGTGCTTTTCAGCCAGGTTTGCCTGTACAACCTGTCCTTCTCCGGTGGCCCAACACCACAGTACGTTTGCTCTCCGTTTCTAATCGCTTTGATTACCACCGTTACTTTATTCCACCGTTTGTTCTCTGTCGGGTCGGTCTTCATGTGACACCTCTAATCCCGATGGTAGAGTCATTGGAATGTTTTTGGTATATCCATACACTTAATGATCTGAGATAGCCATACTGTCACATGCAGGTAAATCTCAATCGCGTGTGATTACCTCTTAGACAAAGCGTCTAGTTGAAGGCTGTTCGTCTACAATCATACTTTTGTTATTTTCAAAGAGGAAACTACTCACTAGGTTGTTGACAACTCTTCGACAGCCCACGGCCGGTTTCACTTTTTTCGGAGCTCATCAGGTACCAACTGAAAAATGAGGCGGCCTGTGTGCAGCACATTCAGTTGAAGGACATCATAAACGAGAGCTACACTTGAGTCTCTCGTGAAAACCAAATTGATTTGTATACTAGGGTATTTGTCGAAATGCTTCTGTTATATTTTTTGTTAGTCCTCGTCACACCACTTTAACTCTGTTAACGGGTAAGTAAGTTGAACGGGCGTTTGAAGTAATAATTTGGATTCCCATTGTTTTATTCTGACCAACTCCCCCAGTGCTTACTTTTAATAGAACTCACCGTGCCATAAACACACGTTCATTCAGAAGGACAGTTCTCCTCGAAACGAAACTCGTACGTTGTGAGACTTTGTGGGAGTGAACTTCTCTGCGGTGGAAAATACGTTTGAATGGCACAATCAGTTTTTTCTCTGCGTCTTTCCATCGGATGAACGATTTTAGGAAGTTCATCGTCTTGATCATTACCTCGAATCATTACAGTGGAGCATGAAAACAGTTCATGGGCTTGTCTGATCACAGAATTCCTGTAGCCTTTTAGAAACCTCTCTGTGCCTTTACCAGGGTGCATGACAGTTGGGCACCCAAGAAGGTGCTTCGATTTGCTTGTCATATCACAACCCAGCCTCTTTATTCACCAAGTGCCACTGCAAACAGGTCGTCAACTGGATCGAAATGATCCATTGCTTAGGTTGCTATTTAACAGGAACCCAAATCTGCCGTCAGCCCGTGAGGCTCTACTTGTCCGAATGCATGAAGCAGGACCGAAAGCTTTGATGAAAAACAAATGGGATCAGTGGCAACTTAGTAACAAAATTGGGCAACTTCGTATAAATAATGATCGTGTTCCAGAGAGGTCTGCGTACCATACGATATAAATGAAGATATGAACAAGAAAACAAAGTTTTCCGCATTTTTGTGACACTTCTGCTTTTATGACGACTGCTGGCAATCATTGAATTTATTTTCTGGCGTAAGTAGGTCTTTGTGCTTTTTTTCTGAATACTACGGACGAATGAGGCAGTCGTACAAAAATAACTTTGATGTAGGCGTTGTCGTCATTAAAGGAAGATAGTAATGTAAACTATCCCATGTCTTGAACTTGATTTTCCTCATGTGTGACTAGAATTTGCTAGTTCATGGAATATGTGAAACTACACTTTCCAAGCTAAGTTTTCGAGTTTGGATACTAGAGTGAATTCCGTTTCTAGGTTTATTCAGACCGGTGGATCTCCATTTCCATTCCTGTTTTGTCGTTTTCAGTGTAGTTCTTATTGGCTGAACTGCCAGAGATTGCCTCATTTAGCCCTTCAGGTCCATTCATTTGGAATCATTTTTGTAGAGCAGTTCGTTCGAGAGTACACACCATATCATCAGTTCATCCTTCCAAATATGTTTCGCTGTGAACAGCGAATGATACGCTTACGACTGTTTTTCCTAAATGTGCTCTTCCTTGGCATTCTTTTTTCTGGATTCCGTAAATTCACCCATGCTTAATTAAGACGAATCCGTCTGTTCTCTCATTTCTTGACAGGATACCTCAACATGGGTTTGGAAGGGACCTTCAGTGTACGTTTGATCTTTGGAATCCCTTTGTGTATGCATTTTCTGATGACCTATTTCGACGCTCTGTCTTTTTACCCGTACTCCTAAGCTGCGTTGTCACTGGCTATGAATTAATTTTCCTGCCTGCCCCGTATCTCTGCNTGAGGCGGCCTGTGTGCAGCACATTCAGTTGAAGGACATCATAAACGAGAGCTACACTTGAGTCTCTCGTGAAAACCAAATTGATTTGTATATTAGCGTATTTGTCGAAATGCTTCTGTTTTTTTTTTTGTTAGTCCTCGTCACACCACTTTAACTCTGTTAACGGGTAAGTAAGTTGAACGGGCGTTTGAAGTAATAATTTGGCATTGTTTTAAACCAAATTGATTTGTATATTAGCGTATTTGTCGAAATGCTTCTGTTATATTTTTTGTTAGTCCTCGTCACACCACTTTAACTCTGTTAACGGGTAAGTAAGTTGAACGGGCGTTTGAAGTAATAATTTGGATTCCCATTGTTTTATTCTGACCAACTCCCCCAGTGCTTACTTTTAATAGAACTCACCGTGCCATAAACACACGTTCATTCAGAAGGACAGTTCTCCTCGAAACGAAACTCGTACGTTGTGAGACTTTGTGGGAGTGAACTTCTCTGCGGTGGAAAATACGTTTGAATGGCACAATCAGTTTTTTCTCTGCGTCTTTCCATCGGATGAACGATTTTAGGAAGTTCATCGTCTTGATCATTACCTCGAATCATTACAGTGGAGCATGAAAACAGTTCATGGGCTTGTCTGATCACAGAATTCCTGTAGCCTTTTAGAAACCTCTCTGTGCCTTTACCAGGGTGCATGACAGTTGGGCACCCAAGAAGGTGCTTCGATTTGCTTGTCATATCACAACCCAGCCTCTTTATTCACCAAGTGCCACTGCAAACAGGTCGTCAACTGGATCGAAATGATCCATTGCTTAGGTTGCTATTTAACAGGAACCCAAATCTGCCGTCAGCCCGTGAGGCTCTACTTGTCCGAATGCATGAAGCAGGACCGAAAGCTTTGATGAAAAACAAATGGGATCAGTGGCAACTTAGTAACAAAATTGGGCAACTTCGTATAAATAATGATCATGTTTCAGAGAGGTCTGCGTACCATACGATATAAATGAAGATATGAACAAGAAAACAAAGTTTTCCGCATTTTTGTGACACTTCTGCTTTTATGACGACTGCTGGCAATCATTGAATTTATTTTCTGGCGTAAGTAGGTCTTTGTGCTTTTTTTCTGAATACTACGGACGAATGAGGCAGTCGTACAAAAATAACTTTGATGTAGGCGTTGTCGTCATTAAAGGAAGATAGTAATGTAAACTATCCCATGTCTTGAACTTGATTTTCCTCATGTGTGACTAGAATTTGCTAGTTCATGGAATATGTGAAACTACACTTTCCAAGCTAAGTTTTCGAGTTTGGATACTAGAGTGAATTCCGTTTCTAGGTTTATTCAGACCGGTGGATCTCCATTTCCATTCCTGTTTTGTCGTTTTCAGTGTAGTTCTTATTGGCTGAACTGCCAGAGATTGCCTCATTTAGCCCTTCAGGTCCATTCATTTGGAATCATTTTTGTAGAGCAGTTCGTTCGAGAGTACACACCATATCATCAGTTCATCCTTCCAAATATGTTTCGCTGTGAACAGCGAATGATATGCTTACGACTGTTTTTCCTAAATATGCTCTTTCTTGGCATTCTTTTTTCTGGATTCCGTAAATTCACCCATGCTTAATTAAGACGAATCCGTCTGTTCTCTCATTTCTTGACAGGATACCTCAACATGGGTTTGGAAGGGACCTTCAGTGTACGTTTGATCTTTGGAATCCCTTTGTGTATGCATTTTCTGATGACCTATTTCGACGCTCGGTCTTTTTACCCGTACTCCTAAGCTGCGTTGTCACTGGCTATGAATTAATTTTCCTGCCTGCCCCGTATCTCTGCACTCGTCTAAAGTTGTTTTGCATACTCATTTGTTGTGTTGAATTATACGCACGCAATAATGTTACCTACGCCGGGTTGCATACCCTGTCCTGGTTACTTCATTTTATCTCATTTCAGTTGGAAGCTTTTGTGGATGACCTTTTCGCAGTTCACCACAAGATTCGAGATTGAAGTAAGCCGTGCTGCTGTCCTCGTCTTTCTTTTGTTTCCGCTTTTGTGACTTAAAAGTTGGCAGTAGACTGACCATTAGTCTGCGTCATTGGTTGATTGTGCTGATGAAAGTGGGTAATGTGCATTGGCCATAAGGTGTGCTGCGGCATGCACGTGATTAAAAGATCTGTGTATGGGAGATGCGTAATCTGCTTGCTTGAGAGCTATGGGATTAAGTGCTTTATCGATATTTATTCAGTTTACTGTTTGTATGCATCCATCCTCCAATTTGCTCCTGGAGAGTGTTTCTTGCCTAGAACCCGGTTTCCTTGTCTTATGCATTGTCATGATGCATTAAAAGGATGCCTTGAATATCCGAGTAGAGGAGAGTATAATATATTCAGAGTCTAGTTTAAACATAAAGGTAGGGAGAGGAAACTCACACGCGCCCACTGATTTCCCACCTGCCTTTCGGTATGTTTTGAACTTGTTACTTGGGTAAGTTCAGTAGAGCCTAAAGAAAAAGCTGTTTTGAGTCTAGATTATCCCTTCAAAGCGGTTTATGGTGCCGATTGTTGCATTTGATAACTTAGGGTTAAATAAGGAGCGTTGCTGTTCCTCTACCGTACAGCACGACAGTGTCGGAATGCCCAAACCCCAGTGAGCAGTACCGTAAGTTGGTGTTTCTCTAGAAGGTATTCAGACCACCGGTTGTCCACGAAAATCAAGGGCAGAACTATGTTCATGCCAGTGACAATACAAATGAGAAAATTCATGGTGATTACGTTAATTTTTATGCACTAGACCATAGCCTTAAACGAACGTTAAGTCATTCATTGTGTTACTATGGCAGATGAGCGTTTGAGCACCTAGTCAACAAGTCGTGTTAAGCGACTTCACTTATGTTGAACATTTATCTGTAACGGAAGAGGACTCGCTGAGACTGAGTCACATTGTAGGAGTTTATTTGAGCAAAAGCTACGCTACTCGTTTTAGTTACCCGAGAGGTTGAGCAAGTCGGTTTGCTTTTCTATGGAATCGGGTTGTAAATTGCGAACTCTGGAAAAGGCTGCTATAAAACCACAAGATCCATTGGTTTTTCATGTTGCTTGGCAAACAGTTGGAAACTTGGAGACAACTCGAATGATGTAGTTTGATGTAATCACCATCCAAATGATGATGGGAAAACGCAGAAAATTCCATAAACTATCGCGTAAGTTATTGGACTGTCTCTGTCAAACTACCACCAACCTACTACTACTACCAACAACCATCAACCACCAACCCACCGCTACGTGCTACTATGCTCCACAATAACGCACTGATGATGTCACCTCGATTGGTGATGAAATGTTTGCAATCAAATTGCCCAGCTCAGCGAACAAGCCAACGACCACCATCTACGCTACCTGAGCTACCAACATTTTCCTCTATAGAATACTTTTGCTGTGCTATTGAATGTTCGGTTGTCCCAATAGGTGTAGAAATGTTATTCTGATCCCACACTGTACCAGGACTGTCGTTCACGCGATCATTCTTCCGAATATCAAAGGCCGGAATAGAGTCCAGTCCTTTATCGATCATTTCTTTGGTAATTTGAGTGCTCCCGAGTTCACAGAAATCTGAGCAGCACGCTATCCCACTTTCATTCCATGTGGCAAGGTTTGGTTTCCCAGCATTGGGTTGTCGGATAACAGACTTTTTGGAAACAGTTATAGTTCAACCGAAACGGGATACTGCAGACTCATCTCGTTAGATGCTGCATGCCCGCTTCATAATGGAAAATATAGAGTACGGTTTTTAGCAAAAGAAAACAATATTCGAACTTTCAGGTCACTCAACGCTCGTTTGAATAGGAAGCGTTCCCAATTTAACAGATGATCATCCAGGCGGTAGTGAATAGTCACAAGTAAGTTTCGAAAAGTGTCGTCGCTTATTTCAGTCGGAATTCAAACCGAGTAACTTCGGCTCCCGATGCAGTCTGGTTCAGTCCGTGTCACTGTCGAAATTCGCAGGTTCAGGCTGTGGGCTTCACCCGAGGCTGCAAAGATGACATGATTGACAAACTTGTCTTGACAGTTCATCTTCCTGAAAAAAACGGTCCACGATGCTTCTCTGCCTATTGTGTCAAAATCCTTAGTGAGATCGACGGATTGGAAATCGACTGACATTCCTCTAGCATTCCTCTCATTTGAAACATTTAATCAAAGTCCCCTGCGAAGTCCACACTGCTCTTCTGGACTGTCTTTCTCCTTAATTTTTATGTTTATCCGATTCGCCAGAATACGAGCCAGAATTCTGGCTTTTCTCTGCTTCCTCTTTGCAACCCCATGGAGCGCCCCAGCTTCCTGTGTCGTACAAACTAAGTGAAGAAGTGATCGCTCCTCGACCAGCAAGTTTGAACAGTTTGGCGCATGCGCAGTTATTTCCAGCGACCTCGTTTTCCACTTGCAAAAATACGGTTTGTAGTTCTTCCAACGTTGGAAAATCGTTCCTAGAGTTCTTCGTTGTACGTTGCGACATTTGATTCAGTTGATCCCATCCGGTTTGCGATAGGCGCTTGAGCAGTGTGGGGAAGTGAGTTCTCCACACGTTTGCTATGTTTTCCAATCCCGGTATGGAACTTCTTCCGGAGGAAGATCTTAAAACTTGGAGATGCGGACCATATTGGTCCGCTTTCATCCGGACACAAAATGCACTGCCATCCCTCTTTCTTGTGTGCAAACTGCTATTACTAATTTGGACGAGGGCACCAGAAAACCTGATCATGGTACCATAACCACTAGAAATAGTGGATACGCTCACCCGCAATGGGCTTCGACCGTGCAGCCTTTCAATTGCCAACTATACTAACACGGCAGACCCCAAGTTTTACCCTGCTTCTCTTCAGGTTTGGAACACTCATTCCCAACAGATGCGGATGATGCCTAATGTAGTTATTACCCACTAGGTGGGACACACTCAAGAGAGGTATCTCTGTTCAATCTATTGAACTGGTTTCTCGAAAGGACTGGTAACTACACACCATACATAGTACGAGTTTATACCAACTCTTTCCTTGACTGCTGGCAGATTATATCGCCGTGAAATTTGATCACTAACCCATTGTCCAGTCGAATGAACCACTGTGTTTATTTCATCCCACCATTTGTTCGCGTCAGCATCAAAATAACAGGTGCCGACCTAGACGTATCTCTGTAAAACGTGGCAGTATGAGAGTTGGGATGCGCGTAGTACGATAGTAATGGGTCAGTCCTTCACAAGTGGCAGTTTTCCTCAACATACTTGGCTAGCCTGAATTTCACCGATAGGAATCACCATAATTACCGTTCTTCATAGTCCCTTAGGTGGCTTTCCTCTGAACATGGGTCAACGTGTGTGCCAACTTCCAGTACGCGTAGTCACCTGCTTATCTGGAGGATTTACTTGACCTTTCACCACAATGCTGACTATTACGCTTTACTTTATTACTTGCGTCGGAAAATATTCTAACCGCTGTATGATTTTCACTACAGAATGTAAAACCCAGAAGGCCGTGGTATGGCTCAGTTAACCGGTTGCTGATTTTTAGTGCCGCTCATTATGTAGCTTCCTCACATTACGATTGGTAGTTTACGGACTCATTTCTAAAGGTGTGTTCTCGCTTTGTGTGTTTTACTGTTCACACTAGACGTCGTATTACCGAGTCATGATGTTCGGGTATTTAACACCACCCTCCCCTTTAATAGATACCTTTTTAAGCTTCGTTTGATGGTGAATGACGAGCTGCGTGCTGCGCTTAATCTGCGCTCATTTTTTCCCCACATATGTGCCTTAGTATGGGCGTTAAAATTCATTTGAAAATCAATGATCCTCACTAATCAAATGTGCTGTAAAGGGTTGATATAGACTTCCAGCATTACAGCCTAATAGCTTCTTGCTCATATCTTCAAAGAATCCTTCCCAGGATGTGAATTTTTTTTGCTCAAAATTCTGTGTTGCTTTTCTAAACTCCCTTTCCCATTCACAGTTTCTACCCGTCTACAATCCCAACTCCGAGGAGCGTATGGATCCCCGACTATATGCCAATAACGTGCGATCCAAGATGGCAGAGTAAGCACCAACTTTCAGTTTGCTTCCTCACTTGACGTTTTTTTTTAATTCGTATCCGCAGTTGGTCGCGCAGTGTCCGTTTACTCACGTTTTTCCGAAAACAAATAAAACTTGGATCAGATTGAAGTGCGCCATTCCTCTTCGACCGTTACCTCTGCGACACGACGTACATTTTCAACAGAACTGGCATATTCGCAAAAGCTCAAACGGTCATATTACATGGGTTAGTGTGGGCTTAGGAACCGTGGATTAACCACTGCGTCAGGTAAATACTTCAGGCCACGCGAGTTGTGCGTGAGTCAGAATGGACAGAGGAAAATTATATAAGCGGAATTTGGGCGTCATTTGTAAGGGGGTGGGGCAACGGTGAGGCTGATATTGCTATATTTGCTTGGGGCTACAGTTCACACATTCTTAGAGAATAAATTGAGGATATGCTGTTCAATAATCAGCTGTTCTCGACTGAATTCGGGGTAGTTTAAAAGCATGCTAGCAACAGTCACGGTTCATAGGGTGTTATCTCATTGTCAGAAACAAACAGCATCAATGTTGACGCCTATGCTTCACTGCCGTATAAGCACAAAATTCAGCAAACATCCTTGAGAGCTTACAGTGAAAAAAAGAGTGGACATTGAAAAGACCCGATGCTGGCCTCCCCTGAAGCGAATATACCGCAGGGCGCTTAGTCAGACATTCTGGTACGACGAACGACGTCATATCTTGCAACGGCTTCAGCCAAGCACAGGTTAGGTCACTGAAACCACAGTCTGGAAGGCGGATTGTACCATCAGCAATCAGACCCCTAGTAGTCTCTTCCTCATCTATGTTCTCAGCCACGTTCCGAAGTTTGCGCCATTCTAAAGGTGGTGTGAAAAACAACACTTGTCTTGAAAGACGATAATAAATGTGGTGGATGTTCCCCGCAATTGGGGTACCTTTCGCGCCGCTGTACACTTGTCTTCTATTTAACTCGTTACAACATCCATTAGTAGCAACCCCAGTAAGACGTCAGTGCTAAAATCTGAAGGCGGTTGGGATAATCTACCCTCATAGGCCAAGTTTCGCAACCGTACGACAACGAATCTCGTGTGGCCCACGCGACCCTTGGAACTCATGTGGCCAGTTGGCGAGCGTGGGTCTGGCCTGTCAGCTTCGTGCACATGCTTCCTCAGACACGAGTTAAACTTTTGGACTTGGGCTTGGTTTGTGCAGACTGAGAAAATAGTGTCCACGTGACGCCTGAAAATAAAAATGCCCCGGATGGATCTTGAAAGAATTCGTTTTGTACAATTTACTTGTCGGCTAATACAGTTTTCAGTTCTCATCATTGCAAAACTGCCTACTTATATATACTGTATACTCTCAGGAGAAAATTGGCCGTTGTTAATAAAAAGTTGCGCAATAGGAGTCCAAAGTCTAAATTGCTTTGTTTTGTGGCGGTGGTGACCACATGAAAATGGGCATGAGTAAAAAGTGACTGTACAGCTAATTAACCCATTAACTTGAAGTCTTCTAGTAGTTCAGCAAAATCAGATGTCCTTAGAATTAATTGCAGTCAGCTGGGATCTAATTGTTCCTGATTGTGTTTCCATCCTGTGCAGTCTGAAACAGCTGGTTAAAAAGTCACGATAATTCAGCAATGAGATATCACGAGCTCATTTTCTTTCCTGGAATACTTAATCTACATTCCCAACTGATTAGACTAATTGGAGCACTAGATAGTTAAGTGGTTGAGGCGCAAATCAGTAACCGGAAAGTCCATGGTTCGAACCAACCCCGGCTTCTCCACTCCTTGGGCACCTGGCATAATCTCAGTCCTCATACCTCCGGGTGGCACGGCAGCTTAACACCGAAAGGGTTTCACAGCTGAACGATTGTTGTTTTTATTCATTGGCGTAATATCAATCTCATATGCACCTAGCTTCGTCTTACCCTATCCCATAAGCTTCCTTATTCGTTCCCAATCACCATTCATACTTTTGCCAATATGCCAACTTTGATAGAAATGTACGTGGTCTCGCAGTATTAACGGTCGGAGTGTGATCGGAACGTTTTACTTGACGAACGTGGCTGTTACCCTGAACATGCTGATTATGGCTGGAATGTCGCGATTTCAAGAATGGCTTTCATTTTTTATCATCTCCGTCAGCATGGATCACGTGCTTTTTTACGAGTCGATTGAGCTACAATCTGATTCGGGTTGAATCCTTGTACAATCAGACAAGGTACTACAAAATCAAAACGATCCCGGTTTACTCCTCCCTCCAGTGAATTGAAAACGACATCTCAAGCAGTGTAGCGCTTGTTGTGACAAAAAGAACAACAATAAAAGGATTTATAGCAGGTACACAATCAAAAGAAGGCAAATAGTGACTGCTAGGAAGTAAGGTGATCGCCCTCGTGCTCAACTTCATATTGAATGAAACATGTGCGAGACTGTTATTTTTCATATATCTCTCAAGCGTATTCCGTCTTACTTGGGCTAGGCGTAAAAAACGTACGAAGTTATTGCAAAGGATGTTCGTGTCACTCATCACCGATTCTAAATATACACTCTCACCTAGGCTTTGACATTAGTTTCTCCCCTTTCCCTTTTTGTGCACTGTCGTTCCACAAGGTGCGACCATGCCAGGAAGGCCAAAGGGGAGCAGTCAGACCAAGAGCAGTGAGACCCCGTACTACGAGTAATTGTTCTACGAGACAGTCTGGGGGTAAAGTCGTACTGTCGTCTACGACAGGAGTGTGAAGGCAGTAAAGTGTTTCCCCAAGGCGACCAGCATATCCATATTTGTGGAAGCTACGGTGCTGCCTTCCCTCGAGGAGAGACGGGTTAGAAACGGTCGGCCCTACAAGTTGCACACTCTGATCGCCCAACGGTTGACCGTGACCGCCGGCGCATTATCCAATACTGTCGACATAATTTTTTTTTAACGGTAAACAAAATAACACCCTTCCAAATCCTCGAGATCCTTTCTATATAGGAGCTTTTAACGTCCGTACTCTATGTTAAATTGGCAAACAGGCAATGCTTGCTGAAACCTTATACTCTTAAAATTGATTTATACTGTCTCCAAAACACGCATACAAGACCCAGACGTGGTTATAAATATGAGAATGCCAAGGGTGAACTCAGCTCTTTCACATTTCTCCCTCCGTGATTCCGGTGACCCAGAAGCGATAACTCGTGGAATATATGACATGAGAGTCGCATTCAGCCCCAGAGCTGAGTACTGGCCTCCTGCAACAGAGCCTGTAGAGATAGTGCATACAGGCGAATGGGATGTAAACATTGGTCACCCTTCGGAAGAAAGTACAAAATCTCCGTGCTTAAACTTGAGAAGGCACCAGGACCGGACGGTCTGTATGTAGCCTTTTTCAAAAAGGCGAAGAATCCCTGGCGATCCATCTGATAAAGCTTATTAGTGCTATATGGAACGAAGAGAAGTTGCCTGGGGGGCGTGTCGAAAGTTATTCCTGTCTTCGAAAAATGTACGCGGACGCCGTATGAAAACCACCTTGACATCAGCCTGTTAGCTGTGGTATCTAGGTGCTCTCTGGTTTTATCCTTCGAAGGTTGACTGAACACAGATCCGTGAAAACCAAGCTGGGTTCCGTCCTGCAAGAGGATGCATCGATCATATCTTCACTCTCCGCCAAATTCTGAAACAGCGGCACTGCTTCCATCAACCAACACTGATTGTGTTTCTTGATCCGAAAGTTGTCTTTGACCCTGATGACCGTCAGGCATTATGGCAGTTTCTGCGAAGCAAAGGTGCCCCCCATAAATTCTTAACCCTTCTTGAGGCGCTGTACGGTGTCCCCCATAAATTCTTGACCCTTCTTGAAGCGCTGTACGCCATCTTCAGTGGTCCTGTGAAGGTCTGTGGGAAGCCCTCGCCTGAGTTCACCACATTAGGTGTTGTCAGACAGGGCTGTCTGCTTTCACCTTTCCTCTTCAACTTCGTCATCGATACGATCATGGAAGACTCACTACCAGCCTCTAATGCCTGTGGGGTCGAAGTGCTCCCAGGGCGTCCGCTCACAGATCGAGACGACACAGCACTTCTTAAATCTGACCCCGTGGCAATGCAAACAATACTAAATAATTTAAATAATTCTGCCTCACCGTTTGGCATGCGCTTCACACCAGCAAAATGTAAAGTGCTACTGCAAGACTGAGTGGCCCCCGAAACATAGCCTTATGCTTGCCGATGAACCGATTGAGGTATTAGACCTGGGCAGCTGTATCAGCCCCGGTGGTCTGGTGAAAGACGATATTTCCATCCGGATTGAGAAGGCCAGAGCAGCTTTTGTGAACCTGCGTCACCTGTGGCGTGGGCGTGACATCAGCTTCGGGTCGAGTTTACAGTGCTGCGGTGCGCTTCATATTACTATGTGGATCAGAAACGTGGCCGCTGCGCGCCGAGGGCGTCAAAAGACTTTCACTGTTTGATCACCGGTATCTACGGAGCATTGCTCGAATTTGGTGGGAACACCGGGTCAGCAGTGCTGAAGTACGTCGAATGGTATTCGGGGTAAACAACTCACTCGATAAATGAACTGATCACACTGCATGGGTTGCGCTGGCTTGGCCACGTGCTGCATAAGTCAGTCGACCGAGTTCCTCGAAGAGCTCTTCTCGCACAACCACGTGAAGGGTGGAAGTGAGCCAGAGGCGGTCAAACAATGACTTGGCAGCGAAGAATAAAAGTCATTACCAGCAAACTCAGTTGCGCAGGTCATTGCCATCTTCCTTAGTGGGGACCCCGAGACGGGCAATATTAATGGTTAGAGACATTGTCAGGCGTGGTCCAGTCGAGTCCTCAATGGCGCTCATGCACCCAAGCCATTGCCTTCAATGCATAACTCCCTTCCCAATCCCCCCGCTTGACAATCCACTGACTACTGTATTTACGCACCAATTTATCAGCTCCCGCCTCAAATGCGCAGCTATCTACCCCACCTCCCAAAATCATCAGTGAACGAAACTGTGGCAGCTACTACCACTGTATGACAAGTACGTTGTTCTAACAGCTGATGATGATGAAGCCGGTCACTCAAGTGTCCCGAGGAATACATGTCCGTTATTCGCTAGTCCGTCATCCGATCCTAATTCCAAATCACGAACAAGTGGTTAGGATATCACCTCCAATGTCTGACTGTATTTCTTGCTCTCCAATTTTCCTGTGACCCAATTTTTAGGAGCTGGCATCAGAGTTCCCTTTATGCATGGCTTATAGCGGATAAACTGTCTTGCTAATGGAGACACCTTAAGAATGCGTTCGCCCTTCATCCTGATGGAGACAACTCAATACGGCAAAGACAGTAAATAGGGCTCCTCTGATAATTACCGCAAGTTCTGTCCAAAAGCTATCATAGTGTGGTAGTCGGAATTTGGTTTCTCAGAGGACCATATTGGTTGGAACTTTGTTCCTCTGAGGTCAGCCATCTAAGATAGACTAAGGACAGGATTTAGGTTCAGCGGGTTTCCTCTCTACAAGGCGGCCTGGAGGGAAACCGTTGTTTTCTTCTATTTCAGCACGGAGATGCTATGACTAGAGAATTTTGCCAGTAACGGCAACACAGACTATCAGTCGACTGACCGTACCACTTTAGGGAAACGTTATTCTTTTGTTTGTTCTCTACATCTGTGGTTTGCTCTTTCTCAGTAAGCGTTCGCTACTATATGCTCAAGATGACTCCGTGGTTAAGCTGCGAACTTACTGACTGGAAAATCCGTGTTTCGAACCTGACCTCTGCATCTCGACTACTTTTGCCTAGGCAACCTGCAGGTTTTCTCAACTCCCATGCTTCCTTCGGGTAGCATGGCACCTAGACACCGACAGGGTGCCACAATCAGACCGTATTCTTTCCCAGCCCGTACTGCTGTACATATTTATATGGTTCATAGTCGTCAAACTGGGCTGAAGTCGTTTGGAGGCGGATAGCCTACGCCTGTTGTAGCATTCAGTTCCTTTTACCATGCCACCACATACCCGTTTCTTTAATATTGTGCTCTCATGCTTTGCAGGGCTTTGAACATCCCAACTTGTGATCTGTTGTACGATGACTTTTGTCGATTTCAAATAGCCAACGAATGTGGTCTGCCTGATCCAGAGGGTATGGTTTACCTGCATGCACTCCTTCGCACTGCATTGTAAGTGTCGTGCTCCAGGTGAATTGGTCTATTGTTACTGACCTTTGCGGTTCCTTTGGGAGAAGCTCTAAGTCCGATAAACTAGAGTCACCCTTTTTCAGAACTTTGGTAAACAGTCGGTGCATGTATTGCTGGGTTACGTTTCGTTTTCGACATAAAAGTTTTGTTATGATAAGTGAAAAGTTACCAGGTTGACCGAGTCCTAAGGCAGTCAGATAATCAGCCGCTAAGATTCCTTACGACTGACCCATTTACTCAGTGCTGGTTGTCAGGTAGATCTTGTCACTTGTAGGTTAATGTTGGTGACTAATATTCCGGAGCAAACATAGGCTTGCGTTGATATGGTCTCATCATGATTACGTTTCTCCTATCTAGTGACTAGTCACGTGAATTACTGCCAACAAACCGGGCGATTGAACCGCGATCTGTTAGTACTGCTAAACGCACTCACCCTTTGAGCGCCAGTTTTCGATAGCTGCAAGACTTCTGATTATGATGACATTTTAACCCTCGAACGTTATCTCAATAATTAGTCCTGTGCCTCATTGTTTTTCCATAAATCCTATCACAACTTTCAATATAGAATACCTTGTAAGATGAAATAGACCCTAATCGAATGTGGGTAACCTGTGAGGGCCAATTTTGGTCATGTATATCGATTGTCAATTTCCACTCATTCCAGAGCTATTATTTTCTTGAAGTTGGGCAGTATTGCTTCTCATGAATGAGTGTTTCACACTTACTTGTTGTGACCAGGCTAAGTTGTGTAGTATGATGTCGCTATTATCACGGTACCGATACGAAGCTCTAGTGCTGCCCACTGCCTACTAGTCTATTCGAATACCATGCTTTGGCCTCCTCATATGTGTCATGTGTTCAATAAACGCCGATCTTCACACCGTTGATCAAAATGTCGTCCAATCAAACCCACAGGAACACTGACTGGCGTTTCGATTTCTTAAACTGCGAACCTGAGAAACCTAGCAACACGGCGCGTAGTATTCGCACAATGAAATTGAAATTTCGAAGACTGTGATGTGTCCCTGATGGACCAAAGCAATCGGGCAATTGAGTTCAGAGTACTAATCCAGACTTTCGAGCCCCATTTAGGCATCCCGGGGTCTCAGCGATGCTTGGAAATTATTCCACCAGACTTTTTCTCCAGAGGTATGATTGCTTCAGTGGACAACGAAATTCGGTGAGCTGCAAAAATATGAATGTAGATTAGGACAGTTTTTAGTTTGAGCACATACGCGACAAAATGCAACATTCTGGAGCAAAAAGTTTCACTTCACTGGTAAAGGTTTTACAGCTAAGAGCATTGTGCGGTAATGGGCCCCACCAACGGTGCCATCGACTTGGAAAAATTGAACAATGTTGCAGCGTACGACAACGATGAAGGCTGCGTAGGATCAATCGGTAAATGGATGTTTCACAACCAAGGCGAACAAGTCAACAAAGCCCTGCTGTGTGTTGGTTACCTGTAGCATCAATTCATGTGTAGTCAGCTGAGGTGACAACCCGAGAACTTACTTGAATTTGCATGTGTGGGCAAAAAAAAGCCCACTGCATCATTTTCGCTGCTCAGTTGCACGGAGCCAGTTAACAGCCTCGATTGCAAATCGGAGAACCTGTGGAAGCTGTTTTACGGGAAAGAAATCAGGGACGAGCCCTTCTAAAGGTTTGCAAGTGAGGTTAAGCCCCATGTTTATCGAGTGTCGACGATTTCTAAATGTTCTTGATTAGGTTGGAATGCATCCCAAACTCATGTTTTTGAAGATTGCTACCCGACCTTCGAACCGTAGGTTTTTTCATTGTTTCTGTGTATATGGTGCTTTTCTTGGAGGATACAGTCGTTGTTCGAGGAACAAAATCGTGAATTCTTTGTACACGTGTGATATGACCTGGCAGGCACTGCTAGCTTTGGATTTCCTTGGGAAGTCATCTCTACTAAGGTTCATTGCGTTCTAAATACGCTTAGGGGACGGATATGCAATCGTGAATGCCCGCTTGCTGATCCCGCGATTAAAAATCGTGTCTTCAAACCACTTACTGTCTCTGAAGGCCCATCATCTGCACTGAATTATTTTCCTTTCATGCTTTTTACTTAGTAATAAGAATTCATCCGGACGAACTGACAGTTGTGCGGTATTCAAGCGCTAGTGTCTTCACAGTTGCGCGACTGTCGGTGGTAGTGCTGATGATAATGAAACAAACATCGCTGAATCGCTTTCAGCGACGCGGGGCCTACCCTGCTCTCTTCAGTGTCATAGGTGGAATGTACCAGTTATATGGAAAACGGTAAAGCTTCACTACGATACTTGTCTGATATAGTGAAATGAAGATTCTCCTGAACACTACAGTTTTTTCAACCGCGGTAGATGACCAAGTGCGCTGAAGCGGCCTCCTGAAACAATAAGCAAGCCCGGAACGAATTTCTTCACCTCGCATCGTTGCAGTGACTCTTGGAAAGTGTAAAATACTATATTAATGTGTGTCATCCCTGACTGTCAACAATATCAATGAAACAATCAAACTTGTGGCGAATGTGATCAGCGAATTAGCGGTTGATTGGAGTAATGTTCTCCTGTTTGGTGATCTTTAACTGCCGAAAAGCCATGCTGAATTACTCCGAGCTGCATAAAATGAATGACGTAAACTTGGGTTTTTAATTCGGCTCGTTGATCATCCAAATCACCAACTCCTTTTAATCTCGTTTACACTGTAATAATCAAAGTAGGTTACATTCCCCTGTTCTACGTGATAACGTATCCACGGGTCACCCTACAAAATTGCAAGAAGTTGAGCGAAAACAAGTATTTGCTGGTATATTGTGGGCTGTCACACAAGCTGGACAACACTGCACCGCATGTCAGTCAGCTCAAACTCTAAATCTGGTAGAAAACGTCAGGAAAGCCATTTCTGACGGTTAATGAACTTGAGATGGGATAACCATTCTTGGTCCATATCACATGAAGAAAAGGTTTTTAATCGTGTGTACATTGTCCTAACCGTCTCTGGTTTCCCCATGCTCTTGCCTCCAGTTTAATCTGCCGTTCCTTCCGCATTCCCCCCAAAGCTCTTTTGAACGGTTTGAAGACCCACGGCAATGCGAAAATGCGGGTTACCGAGACTGGGTCCACGTACGCCTGGAGAAATTACTCTCCATTGCGCGACACAAGAGTTATTTATCACAACTGGCCTTCATCAATGCAATCTTTCCAAACGTGCAGCCCAATGAACGTGAGACGTTTTTGCTCAACAAGGCAGTCCAACATTACACCACCGAGGTAAATGAGGGTGTACTTTTCAGTCAATGTTTATTTTGCCAGTATTAGATTTCAGATCTAAGTTGGGTTGTGATGTGGCATACGTTTTGGTCGGAATAATCTACACTGTTGAATCCAGGTCACCGATTCGTTTCCGGGTGGCTATTTACTGGAAATCAATGCTTTCAGCTTCTTTTGTTGGCGTTGCCGTAGCACAACAGACATCACGATTCATTGCGCCGTAAACCCGGGAGTGAGGTGTTAGATATCTAACTCTGCCTAGAAACCATTTGGGGTGAATGACCGAACTGGGCTCTTGTATTCAAGATTTGCAGACTGAAGATGCGTCGACTGACAGTGTAAGCAGAGCCTCCTCAGTAGATGTCTGCTTACCAATTCAAGGAATATTACAGAAGTTGAAGACTATCTCATGGAACACCTTCGGATCAATATAATTGTTTTTTCTACTGCGCAGAAGTTTAGGCACTGCTAAACAGTTGGAAATTTGTCCTAGAAACACCCAGTTGAAGAGCGCGGGCGGTGGCAGTCCGTGGACAAAGAACTGCAAGAAGAATCTGTAATTCCGACTGGCCAAATCGAATGAAGGAAATGGATCTGAGAATCGTGACTTTGAGGTTTGGTCCTACCATCTTACGCATCAGGTCACCAACTCCAGCACTCACCATAGTAGTCTGATCTAGAGAATGCAGGCTTTGTCGTTATTGTTGTGAATTGAAATCACATCAAAATATTGCGAATGAAACCATCAACATTCTGAAGGACGCACGTTTTCAACCGTAAGGGGCGGATAGATTCTGCCATTATCTGTTAAGCAAAATAAACCCGGAACAAAAGTGGTTCCCCAGAGGTGACGAAGCCATCTCTTTCCCGACTGAAGCGGTTTGGGTAATCGGGCAGGCACCGGAAGCCTCCGAACTATGCTTCCGCAGTAGGAAACGCCCTGTTGGCGTTGAATTAGGCAAACGGCTGGCACAGCAAGGCGATGGAACGAAGAGGAATTGTGACATGTGTTTATACACCGAATTATCATTATCAACAGGACGACAAACGCCGGGCCAGAAGCGCTTAATTCATGCTCACCATTTGGAGATCACTCTTGTGATCTGTGACCTTAGAATAGTCCAGTTGGTAGGATGGTCCTCTGTTTTGGGCTGCCTGCTTGCGAACACTTTTGAAGATCTGACAGATCTTAGCTCTATCCCACCAGTTGCAGATTACTGTCACAGCAAAATGATTGCATACAAGCCACCACAGCGTCTGCGAATTCATATGCAGTGGACGTGTAAATTCCACTCACTGTTTAATATATGTTGTTTTCTTCACCTGGGAAAAAGTTTTAACTTTGACGGTGATGCTTTGCTGCCTCGCCGGTGTATTTTGAATATGCCTTAAGTGAAACGAATAGTAATAGATTGTGGAGGTGCATGGAATCCCTGCGGAACGACTTCCATGGCTGTATCCTCATCGAGAAATCAGTCCAAACCACCGGCTGCTGATGACAAAGCTCAGTCGTTTTCCGTCCTTTCTTGAACTTTTCTGATACTATTGTTCGGTGCTGACTTTATTCGCGCTTGTGCGGTTTATGTCGAACGCACATAGCCCAGAATAAAACATGCCTTCTCCGTTCCCGACGAGATGACCTTAGTTCGAATAGTTACCGTCTTTGAAGCGAGATCCCTCGAACCATCCGCTGTGCCGGACTTTCTATCTGTGGATCATCCAAACTGACCTTTTTCAAGCATTGAAGCCACATCAGTCACCAGTTAAAGGAGGGTACATGCGGACCGAGAGAGGCTGGAAGTGTACAGTAGTAGTCCTAGTTGATCTGTACAATTAGTCCTCAGTGAAATAATCAAACACCAAAATGATCTCATGGTCTCCAACAAAGAAGGGCGTTTGGGCGCTTGGGCTGCAGACTTCGAACAACGATTCAGCTGGTTATTCGCGACTTTCCACATAGGCATCCGGTATACTACAGGAACGTGAGAGCAGAATGTCGAAACTTATCCCGGATTGCCCAGTGAATGAACGAAACTTGCGTTTCGACCATCCGGATTCAAGTTACTGCTCAAACACTTTCAAATTGGGATACTCATGTTTTCGTCAATGAAATCGTTCAGCTGTAACACCTTTTCGGTGCCTAGCTTCCATGCTATCGAAGGAAGCACGAGGGTTGGGTTACTGCCAGGTTGCCCAAGCATAGACAGGGGAAGTCGAGAAGTAGGAGTCGGGTTCGAACAATGGACCCACCGGTCGGCAAATTCGCGCTCTAACAACTTGGGCCATCTCGCCCACCCCTGATTCTAAAGTAGATAAATGTGTTTCCGCTATGGGATTCGTCTCCTTTGTCGGCCCTTAGCTTTCTACTCCACTCACTATGGTATGTCACGAGGCACTGTAGCCTAAGATGGTCTCTGATGATGACAATATTTATGGAGTGGTTACAGAATTTCCCACAAGGCTCAGCTGGAATCTTCGTGATTGGAGGAGAACGGCCCAGCCACAGTGATTGGCTTAAGTTCTGGCAAATCAAGGAGCCTTCGTTTAGTCTGTAGCCGGCTCTTGACACATCCGTCCGACGTAACGATCATCTACTGCTAGCGTCTCGTCTCTGGACAGTTTTTTTTTACCGAAACTGCAGTTCCTCATCCGGACAGTCTTCCAAGTTCCGTTGCAGAACGGTGGTGACTTCCTATACAGCTGCCTCGCTGACATGTTTGCACCTATTCGGGCGAATGCCCCTGTCCCCGACAAGGGTTTAATCAAGTGTTGTATTATTTTCAAAGAATATTCAGGTGAATGCGCTAACAACAGAAGCGTTGGTCTTATTCCTATTATAACAGGCGTTTTAGGCTAACTGTTCCATCCTCATCTTAGTGGCTAGTGAAACGCTGATTCATGAGCGTCCAGTTGGATTTCCACCGGATACAGCTTCATGGACTTGATGTTCACGCTCTGGCAGTGTTTTATAAGGCATCATATATGCACGCGACCCACAGTGTCACTTGACCTCAGTGACATGCCTGATTCCGTTGAGGGACAAATTCGTTTAGTCACGCTCATCCAAAGTAAGACTGCCGAGGAATCCATGAACATCATCCGCTCTGTGGACTTACTAAAATAGGTCGTCTTCCTTGAGAAAACGATGTTTCACAAGTATGTCCCTTCTTTCTTTTGTCGTTCAACTTCGTCGTCGACGAGGATTTCGTGCCAAAAGCGAAAGGTTACCCAACAATAAATCTACCTATGGTTACCAAGCGTTTCCGAAAAATACTGCAGGGTATTTGGAATGTATTCGGCGAACTTGTTCACCTAGAGTTTAAAGACGATGGCGGAAGCGCCATTAAATAGAATAAACATTTTTGGTATTCGTGTCTATCTACATGGGCGATCTCCCTGCATGCTCCTTAGTTATTCGAGACAGACTATCAGTAGTTGAATCACTCCTGATGAAGTCTAGAAGGTCCGGATTACGTTCGCCCCGTCTACTTACACCACTATTGCTCTCAAAAGACCTACCATAGAGTCTTGACTGTTATGTGTACCGGTCCCCGGAAACCAACTGTGAAACTACCATCAAGCATCAGAATGGATTGGCCATTTTGAATAAAAAGGAACGCCTCGACAGGTGGACCGAATGCATCAAACAACAGTTATGGTGACCATCAGCTGCCACTCATCTGGAATCCACAGTTGCCTTAGAACCTTGGACGGTGATTGCGGAACTCTCAAACGCCACAGAGTTCTGGTCCGGATGACCTCTAACCCACATTGTTCAAAGATGGGGTAAAATCCTCAGTCGGCGCTTGTGTGATCTATTGGTCTGTATTTGGGAAAAGGAGACTTTCTCAAACAACTCTCGAAAGTTAGTGATAGTGCTGTTTCTCAAAATGGGCTAATAGTGAGTGTGGTAACCACAAGGCTGTCAACATTACCCCAGTTGTAACGAGGTTCTTGATGTCATTACTGCTTCGTCGCCTTACGGTAGCCCGTGAAGCACTGAATTGAGAACAGCATGGAGGATCCCGGCCTGGTAGGGGTTGCATTGACCAAGTCTTCACACTCCATCAGGTGGCAGAACAGCGTCATACGTACAAACCACTCGTAAGGCGCATTCTGCTTGGTTGGCCTTAGCATGCTTGCCCATCAAGCAGTGTCCCGTAAGTTTATGAACACCGTGAATTCTCTGTGTTCTCAAACTTTCGAGCATGTGAAAGTATACGAAGAGCTCTCTGTACACAAAGCGGTGTCCGTCATGATTGAACACTCCCCATTCTGATTTAATTGCGCGGTCAGTGAGATAGTGAGACGAACGCTGAAAGGTCTTCAAAACCCCAGTGCTCATATAGCCTCTAACGATCTGGAATATGCAGATCACAGAGTTTTCGTCTCTGAATAGAAGAAAGAGCTGTTGTTTTTGGATGAACTCATCAAGGTCATCCTCACACTTTGCACCCACAAAGTGTGAGGTAATGCTCATGGACATGCAGTCACTGAACACGCCACTTATAATCCAGGGAGAGGCACTTGAAGTTGTGGGGTATTTCACATACTTTGGAAGCTGTATTAGTTCTGATTGTACTGTGACCGGTGAGGTCAGTGCACGAATCTGAAAGTTTCGGTTCACGTTTGCTAATTCGAGACACCTATGGCGTCAGAGTGGTCTAACCCTGAATTCCAAGGGACGTGTGTATCAAACTCCAGTGCGGGCTGTTTTGTTGTATGGCTGTGAGACTTGGCCTGTTCGAGCAGCGAACCTGAGACGTCTTCAGGTGTTCGACAATCGTTGTCTCAGAACCTTAGCTCATATGATTTGGTGTCGGAGAATCCATAACGACGGGTACTTCCATTGAAGAATGTGTCCAGAACCAGAAGGTGTCATTTATTGCGTATGTCGATCCATCGTTTGCCTAAGAGAGTACTGATTTTCGTGCTCCATTCATAGTGGCGGAAGCAAAGAGGTGGGAAACCCTTGAACTGGCAAAGGGGTATGAAAGAGAATATGCAATATTTTGGTGCTGTCGGTGCTACTGGACTTCCAGGGTGGGGACCGCGTGATCTTCACTGCGCCTGGTTGGAGACACTACGAGACGGCTGCCAACCGATGTCGGTGGTGTTCTTGTTGTCAGTCTCTATCCAGATCGCCTGAGTGAATGTCTGGAGGTCTAGGCATCTCGGGATGATTGCAGTAAGCTGGCACCGAGTCCCTTCCCCGTCCACCTTCATTCCATTCTTTATAATAAGGCTGTCAAATAAATCATGTTTGTACGGCATTGAAGCATCGGTGTTGAACACTGATGTTATGCTGTTGATGAGGATGGTGATGTATCAGGTTGTAGTACGGGCTGTGTGGTTTAGTTGCGTTACCTTGGGGGCGAGATGGCCCAAGTGGTTGGAGCGCGAATTTACAGACGGGAAGGTCCGTGGTTCGAACCCGAATTCCGCCACTCTACTTCCCCTGTCTAGGCTTGGGTAACCTGGCAGTATCCCAGCCCTCGTGCTTCCTTCGGATGGCATGGCAGTTAGGCACCGAAAGGGTGCTACAGCTGAACGATTTATTTATTTTTTACCTTATCTCTGTGGGAAGTGAATTATGTATGTGATTTCTCGGCATATTTTGTGGTGTTACTGCGCGTTGCCGCATTCTTAGGGGAAAGGTTGGGCAAGCTGAGGTCGAGTGTAGCGTGTACTTCAGGGTCGTTCGTGCTATCAGCATAACTGGTTCCCTGGTTCAGGTTCGATGAGACTTATCGAAAACAGTCGCATAGTTTGCGCAACTTTCCACGTTCATCTTAGAGAATCTGAATGGTATCTGACCTATAAGACCTGGATAGGAAGGATACTTGGTGGGTTGTTTGTGGGCCTTTGGAGGTGCACTGGTCTCAAAATACCGCTGCTTAAGTTTCCTCTGTCCCCTTTCCCATCCGCTGTTTTCTGTAGATCTTTTTTTTCTGAAACACCATATGGTTTTCCGTGATTGTCGCGACCACCAATAGGTGTAGTTTTGGCGGATAGTTCCAACAGAACGACTGATGACTTCCAGACTCATATATGCATGCTCTGGGTAACATTGTGTATGTCCAGAATAGTGGTATATTTGTATAGATGTCGATAATCCTAATCTGTGTTTGCTCTATTCTAGTCCTCGACTGGGGTGGATTTTCGAATGTTCATCACACGAGCTTGCCTGTTCCTCTTCGCCTCAGACTTGCGTACGGCTATACGATATGCTGTCAAAGTAAGCTGTTTTTCAGTTTTACCTATTTCGCACTTCATGCTGTCTGGGTTCTTATCCTACAATTTCGCGTAAACTATGTCGAACTGGGAATCCCGACAACCTTGCCACCTTGAAATCGTATGAAACATTTCACTAGACTGCTCTTTGTTCGTGGCTTACTTTGCGGCTTCCTTCTGATTTCAGTACTCATCAGTGAAGAGTGAACTTAATTACTTGGCATGTGTTTCGCATGGATATTGCATCATGGCATCGCTTGCATGGGTGGAAGGTCCATTGTCATCCCGTCAGTGAGAGTATTCTGCACCGCGTTACTGCGACCTAATTTTTTAAACCATATACCGAGGCGCTAACTCAACTGACTCCCAGTTGATCGCGTTATTCAGGGGTTACTTCAAGGTTATGCTTTCCTAGAAAATGTACTTGGCTTATGCTATACGGTTGACAGTCTTTTTTGGTATATAGGTTTCTCACATTGATCGCTAAGTAAATAAACTTTCCGGTATATTCAATTACCCACCGATCTCTGTCGTCACTTCGAAGAACGAGATTCTTCACTATTCGACCGAATTTGAGGCTTTCCGGGACATGAAAGATTTACCAAGTGAAATTCTCAAGTTACTAATGGCCTGTGAAGGACAGGTAGAGTGTAATTGCCATTTTCCTCTCTCTAGGCTTTCCCCCCCAAGGAACCCTATTTCCCCAACTCACCAACTGAACCTCTTGCGGTGAGCAGCGGGTCGTATGACCGGATCCGAACCTGGGCCATCAGGCACTCTGATGCAAAGCAGTTGATACTGTACGTTTTCAACGCACAACAACAGAGTACTGACATCTTCGAACTGATCAACCTTTCAGTTGAATACTTTGATCAGGATCCCATGACCAGCGAGATCAATGAGTCTGCACCTGTTCATCCTGGTAAGTACTGCTTAGCTTATTAGTAACAGATAAGTGAGATAAACCCGGTTGGTACTTTTTTCATTATTCCTTAATTGCATTCCAGTTAATTCTTCTTGAATAAAGATCTCGCTGCCTAGCGAAACAACCGCCGGTCTCACGAACGTAACTTCTGGGTTAACGAGAAAAATTCAGAGATTGGAGAATTTAGATTATTTTGGTCTTATTGATCGTCAACACGGATCACCTTTTCTTAGAAAACAGGAAATTGGGGAACTTGTGTGTAGTGAACCAAGTCTACTTGTACTGCTTACCTTCCGTTCGCGTTTTGGATACTGTCTGACAACTGATGCTTTGGTACAGGTGAACAGTTCGGAGTATTGTGGGCTGAATCGCGGTTGATACTCTATGTGCGAGGTCTGCGTTCTCGGACGAATATGTCTTGTGATCATCAAAGGTGAATAATGATTTGATACACTACTCATGAGGTTGATGAGACCTCTTTGACAACCCGCGACCGCTTTCTTACTTTTTGGGGCTCATCAGGTAGGAGCACTCCCAAAGTTGTGATCAGACGTTGCTCAGTTTATATTAAGCTGTTAACGCTGATCGACCCAAAAGTCGGCTCTGTCGAAAACCAAAACTTTTTGCATACTGTTTCCTGATGGTGGATTTGTGGAATATATGCATCCTAATTTGCATACACGTGACGCACACCGTTAATTATCGATTGGATATTGTCGTGGGAAGTTCCTCTTGGCCTCACGGTTCTTTGTAATGTGAATGTTTGCTGTGAAAGCTTAGTGCAAGTTGTTTTAGCTGTGACGGAAATCGGTGCGCAATTCTCAAAGGCCAGAACCACTTATGTTAATTTCCGTTACTTCTGACGTTTAAAGAGGCGTATCACTGGGTCTCAAGGGTTGCTACAGCAAGCGCTGTGTTGTTGGATGGTTGCGAGGCATGGCGTCTACGAACAAAGGTGAGACTTCTGCGGGTGTTTCAGAAGCGTTGGCGGTGTCGGATGGCGTCAACGCATCCCGAACGAGGTAATTAGAAAACGGGTATTAGGTTGTGCAGCAGGTACTTCAGTCGCAGAAAACATCCAGCACCGTCAGTTGCGGTGACTGGGCCATTTGTTGTACTTATCGAAACATCGTCTACGAAGACCGCTGTTCTCCGTACCTCCTCCAGAATGGCGCACACCATGAGGTAGATAAAGTCTGATTCGGCAAAAAAGCAGTGAAAGATATTGCGATATCAGAAGCGCACGTGCTCTTTTTTCTTCCCGGATTGCCTGATTGGAGGTGTGCCCACTTCAGAATGTTTGCAATAGATCGGCACCAGGTCTGCTTCATCTACTGTTTTCTCTTGTCTTCAATTTAAGTCTGTGCGGGAGTATTCCAAGCTGAGTGAATTTATAAGGACAATATGGAATATAAATAGACGTAAACGTTTTCTGAACAAAAGGCATATATTTGACTTGAGGTATGTTCACTTGTCACAAAACTAGGGCTTTGATGGATTCCCACAAGAATAAACCATTTCGACGTCCTGGTCGCTAATATTGTTGCCCCCCAGATTGACTCAATTCTGTTCATAGATGCGTGGAATAAGAGTCGATGCTCTCAATCTAAGACGATTTTTTAAAGTTTGAAACGAGATTTGCTCAGATGTCAACGTCCCACTTTGTTTTGGTAACAAAGCTAACCTTTTGGTTACCGACCCTTTCGACTATTAGTGGCTTCGGAGATGTTGCCGCATTTGGACAACAATCCGACATCAGGTCAGTAACACGTGTAAGATCCTCCCCACTGATCTCGGAAACTTGTCTTCGCCTTACCATTGTGCGCTGCATCCGACCAAGGTCGATTGCCAGTCTGGTGGCTAATTTATGTCCGCATTGGACTATTCAGTTCAGGGATCCCTAGTCAAAGGAGTACCCTTGCCTGTCGGATGAGAAGCCACTTAGTCTTCACATGTGAATGTTGCATTTTGGGGTAGCGAGAAACCACCTTAAAAATGGTCATGACAGATGAAATAATACGGAGAAACATTTTGAAGTGCTTGGAATACAGAAGACAAGTTAGCCCATTTCTCATAATCGGAAAAAATTGTATAGGTATACCCTAATCCTGGACTGGACGGCATGAAGAAGAACTAACGGGTGTATGGCTTTAAACTCGGAGTTGCAGAGACGTGTGTTCGTCATCATGAGTTCAGAATAGCAGGAGGGGAGAAGGACAGCATTGAAACAGCTTTCAATTGAAATCGCTGGAAGATGAGGGATTTTTCAATCCCATGCGTGGTAACATAATTTGTGTTGAAATGAGCATTTCTGATGGGAGAGAATCAAAACACGGACCAGGTATTATCCATATCGGAGTTTCCTCTGTTTTGGCTTCGGCAATCTGCAGTATCCCATTGAAATGAGCATTTCTGATGGGAGAGAATCAAAACACGGACCAGGTATTATCCATATCGGAGTTTCCTCTGTTTTGGCTTCGGCAATCTGGCAGTATCCCAGCCCTCGTGCAACCTTCGGGTGGCATGGCAGTTAGGCACCGAAAGGGTGCTATGGCTGAACGATTTTTTTCATATCGGAGTCAAAAATTAAACCCATTCACAAGTCTGGAATTTTAGGATGTAGTTGGAACTAATAACGAAAAGACTATAGGGTAAGATCAGGCGGGAGTCCGACGAACTTTGCTCTGCTGTTGTTGTCCCGGGACACCACACCGCCAGAGCGAAATGGAAGGTTGTCGTCGATGTTTGTTGATGTTGTCGATGCAGTTGTTTGAGAAAAGATGCAGGTCGTGCATGGGTAGTTTTGTCAGGGCACTCTCCGGTACCTAATTAGAAGTGTTCCAGGACGGAGGACTAAAGCTGTGAAGCATATGTCAACTGGTCACGTGTTGAACATTGGTGACCAGACTTGAGGTCGATTCAAAAATTGGTCACATTGGTTCCTGGAGCTCCGGACATTAATTGTGCACAATTGGGGTGATATTGGCTCGGGTAAAGCCAGAATCTACATTGAAGTAAATAAAGTACTTGTAAATGTTCTCTACAAGAGGGTACATCACTGATACACAGTGATAGACGTTATTATTGGGATAAAGCCCGGATGGAGGCGCTTCTGTGTGTGAACGAAAAGGAGATCAGTGACCGTTGTATTATGTCAGGCANATTGAAGTAAATAAAGTACTTGTAAATGTTCTCTACAAGAGGGTACATCACTGATACACAGTGATAGACGTTATTATTGGGATAAAGCCCGGATGGAGGCGCTTCTGTGTGTGAACGAAAAGGAGATCAGTGACCGTTGTATTGATGTCAGGCACGAGATAACGAGCGCCGACTGAAGGGGAAAGAGTGAAACAACAGAAGTTAGGGGAGATATGGCAAATTTAGAAGCACAGGGAAGCCGAAGACTTCAGGCTTATCTGTTTGGAGAGCATATGGCGTCTGTGCGTAAATCGGAGAAGAGAGAGAAGACGGGGGAACAGCGTTTTTTATTCCGGGACAGTGGGAATGGTGATTACACGTAGAAAGGTCGCCGTCGGTAGTTTTGTTGGTTTCACTATACTGGTGTTCTTAGGCGGGTACGCTCATACTAAAGAGGAGTTTTAGTGCACAGATAAGCACTGCCACTCATGTAAACTGTCATTTTTCATGTCTCCCTCAAAACCATGGAGCTGTCGTTCGAACACCATTTCTCCCTAACTTCCCTCCATTTTTACAGACCGTTTATATGCAGCTTTGAACGCCGTTCCCCTACCATTTCCAAGGAGTTACCTCCAGTTTGAAACACTACTTTCCAAAACGTTGGGCAAACGCGGTCGTCCACTGCTGCATATCGATGGGACTATCACAAGTGATCTGCAAGCCAGTAAGTGTAGTTTCAACACGTCTGAGCTTGCCTCATATCGGCGATCTACTTCTGCTGGGACATGCAATAGTGACGCTCTTAGTGAACCTTGTGTTACAAATAGTTCGGATAAAAGTCGCAAATCGCTACCGTACGCTGTGTTCTCATCTACCCCACCGCTCGTTGATTCGAACCACAATCAGACTTGCGCTGCTGCCTACAGACGAACGCTACCGAGCTCACCATTCGGTAACAAACTTGGCAACACCTAATCATTTTGAGCCGTTTATCAAGACTCGCAATTATACAGCGTTCAACTTTTTGTCACTTTTTCCAGTTCAATTGTTCTGTTCAGATTATGTTTGAACCTCTACTCCTATCTGGTTGTCTACGTTATGAAATTCATATTTTTCTTGTTGATTGGACCCTGTCACCCGACAGCAAAGGCTTCCATGTTCTTTCCTGTGCGCGCTTGCTTTGCATTGCGATTACCCTTGCACATTCGCCCTCCCAATTCGCGGCATTCAGCCGCATCCATGTTTTTCGTCTGCCTTCCATTTGTTCGATCCGTACGTTCACCAGTTCGTGTAATATTTTTGTTGATTCTCCTAATAGAGCCTCTTATCCCTTGTTCTTTTCATTGCATCTCTGAGTTTCGTGCCCAGTGTATGTTTGTTGGAACTGTGTTTGCCGGTCACCTCTAACTTTATGGTACGATGCAATTAAAAATGGTTCACTTGTGTAATATACCATTATGTTTCATTTTAGTACTCGGGTTAACTGAATCGACTACACTCACCGGCAGCAGTACTCTTGTGTGATCTGTCGAAAGTCTTCCTTATGCTCACAGCGAGCAGCCCAACTACGCACTACTCCGTCGTATAGGCGTCACAAGCTGAACATGTTTCGTTAAGGGTTTCGTCTTCAACTGGGTTGTTATTCTCTGTCCTGTCAGACACGAAAGTAAACAAGTATGATTAATAATACCGTGTTGTCATCAGACTACTTTAGAGGACGACCGTACTGAACCAATCGGCTGGGGCAGCAATGAGCAACACTTTCTGGTTCAGTGAGTGTGCTGAAGCACTGTGGAAACCCTTATTTATAACGAGTGACCGAAACGAAGTCCCATCTGCTGCTTCCCTCTGTTAACCGGATGCCTGACCTAAGACAATTTGATTACCGTGGATGGCCGCACTACCGAACGAAGCTTAGACCCTTATTATAAGATTTAACCGGTGGTCATCCACTACCCATTCTGTTTACTTTTCAATTCAGTGGTGAGCTTGGCCCTGTTGCTAGGACCGATATCACCATTAAAATCGAACGAAGGAAAGCCTGATACACCGAGGGCAAATTTCTAGCATATGAAATTAGAGCGGACTCAAATAGTCACCTTGAAATCTTGAATGATCTGACGTGGGAGTGTTAAGGTTCGAAATCCTTAGCCACAGTCTACTCATCAACAGGATATCGGGTCCTAAAATCGAAAACACAATTGTACTAAGTTTCACTCCGAGAAGATACACGATTGCGCTCGAATCGTCTTCTAGTAGACATTGTTTCAAACAGGGCCGGTGAAGTGGGTTCTGAGTTTCATAGGGACTTCAAGAAACAGGTTTGGTTCAGCGTCATGTTTCTTGGCCAGAGAGTCAGACAAGTCTCAAAGCGTGCCTCAGTTACCTTCTAACAAGTAAACAGATCTTCCTAAAGAGTTCGCAGAATACACTACAGAAACAACACATCTAGAATGATAAGATGTTGAGCAGTACGCCTAACACTGCTGTATGATGTTAAGGCACCGTTTACTTTTCAGTGAATATCTGTAAGCCGACCTTTACAGTCCCGGCTCCTGACTGGAAATTTCGTGGTCGAATTCATCCCTGTCTGACACATGAGTCGTGTGTGTTCACGGCTGGCATGCATACACCTAAGATACATAGAAGTGTTGGATGAAACTGTTGATTCAACCGTCAGCCACCGATCCTGTTTCATATCTGAGCAACACGCACGCCTCTATGTGCGCAACTTCTGTGCACCGAGCGAGCGCCACAGTTGAATTTTATTTGTAGAATAGCATAGTTCGTATGATATTCCTTCATGGTGATTCGTGCGACAGAATATGAATGTAGGTTTATTACTGAGTAACTGACGCCTTTCGATCATCTACATGTCCCACTCCACCGTTTTATGCGTTTATGAATTTTACCGTGTAGGTCCGGTGCATTTCATGACCTCGTTAACGTGGACTTTTTGTCGCTACACCTTGTTTCGGTGCAGCAATATTCGCAAAAGATCCTCGTGTTCTCCTGTCATGTTCTTTTCGCCGTCGATATCCGGTACGGGTCTTTGTTTTGTTTTGTCGTTGGAACTTCCTTTCACGCATTCCACTGGATTTGTTTACCTCACAATTTCTACTGCCATGTGTAGCTCCAGCATGAAAATGCTCAAACATCCCGCCATATCCCAGGTTCATGTAAACCCTCGTTCGCAACTATCAAATCCTTTTCTGGCACTAATTGTATAGCCACTCCTTTTTGCTTCTGTCCATTGATAGACCTACCGAAAACAGTTGTTCCAGAAACGTCAGCGTTATGAATGTCATTTTAACTCTCGTCTTAGTAGAGCTATTACCCTTTGAAGAGAAATACTCTTACTCAAGAACCTGATCTTCCCACTCAGTCAGCTTTAACCGCAGCGCATCGAATGAAGTAATACGTGACTCAAAATCGGCCTGCTTAAATAATACGTTTTCGTCCCGTACATTTTCAACGGGGTATAACTGCGTAACCTCTTCCGCATAGATGAATTCCATTTGGATTAGTTGACAGCTGTGTGACTAAAGAGAAGAGTAAGATGCGTCCTACTTAGATCAAAACAGTCGGTGATGGTCAGCAATTGGGGCTGTTTATGTACAGTCTGTTCTGGAAAATTAGGTTAGACATATGGGCAATCCAAACAAGGTCGGTAAAATGTTTCCCTAACCTATGTGCGCACTCTTTTGCAACGAAACTTCAAGGAAACAAACTAGACACAAGAATCACTTAGGTTTTACAGTGAGGTTACTAAACAGATGCCGCCAACCGTGAATAGGCCGGTGAAGCTATGGTAATCTCAGGGTCACAACGAAGGGATTAAAATGAAAACTTTTACCGCGGAGTGAAACTAACTTGTGTGTCGGTGAAGATGAACAGACTGTCCACTAGGCCTTCCCATTTAATTCAATCGAAAAATCGTGCGAATGCGAAACACTGTATCAATCTGTCACAATTTTGTGTACAGGTTACGAAGGAATAATGAGGCACGAACGGTAACTTGGCACACTACTGTGCCGATAGAACATCGTCTCAGTATCGGTGCTGTGAAAGAGAAAGGCAACCGTTTGAAGGGTTCGTTTGTAAATGCTAGGGCCGCATACTCGAACAGGTGCGGGCCATACCGAGTACGTTCCACTCCCCAGGGAAGTTCATGTCCGCGGGGGTGGAGAGATGGCTCAGTGTTTAGAGCGCGAATTTACTGACTGAAAGGTCCATGGTTGGAACCTGATCTCTCCCCATGCCCGGTTTAGGCATGGGCAGTCTGACACTGTCTCAGCCTGCATGCTCCTTTCTAGTAGTTTCGCAGTTGGATGTCCATCCACAATTGTTGGATTGTTCCTTATCAGAACTTATGAACGCCACAATCACAAAATCCAAAATGGTGACTGGATAGTGGCTGGAGCTGAGATCAGTGGATTAGCATTCGGGAGCATGAAAGAATCTCTTGGCCGGCCTTTCCGGAACTGGACTCGTCTTTTTTTCTACGTCACGAACCTGAAATTATGAAAAACGATAGACTGTTCCTCGAACAAAAAGCTGGCAGGTTTTGCTCGTCTACCATCAAACCACTTTAGCTATTCGAAGACCGAGGCGTTTGCTGCGTCGGACAACTTAGGGCGATAATCGCTCGAGACAATAGCGTGAGCCGCACTTCAGTTACCGATTGTCAATCACTCATTTACGTCGTAACTCAGATACTCATTCAAGTGAAAGTCGTTAATGGTTCATATGCCGCTCTTGATTGTTTTTTGTTACCCACTCCGTCATTTTATCGGGATGTTGGTTTTCTCTGGGCATTAAAGCGGGTATGATTATCGATCAAGTCGCTCTTTCATACTTCGCTTTCATTTTTCGGGCTCGATGTTTTCAGCATTAAGGCAGCAAGTTCACACGGCTAGTTTCTTCTCGTCTTACGCTTGCTGAATCCAAAATTCCCTCCCTTCTGAATCAAACAACGCTTGCACTGTTGTTGTTGCTAACCACTTGCACTTTTGCCTTCTTACTTGAAAAGTGTATCCAATCCTCCAGACCGAAGGCTATCCTTTTCGGACGAATCTGGCTGCCCCTCTGGTAAACAATGCCACTCCAGATTCCACATGTTTTTGTTTTGCATAGTGCACTCTCAGGTCGTTCGTGTGCACTTGGTGTCCACTGTTCCGATTTTTTGCTACCCAGTGAATGGCTGTTATGCTTTACGTGCGCAGCTGACATCGATACGTGGTTAGTGCTGCAAGCCTAGTGTGAGAACACAGGGTGACATTTTTGCGCTTCAAACTGCGGTTGGGCAGCTGAACACAACAATACAATGCAGCTGAGCATTTGAGTGCTATTGAGAACGGGTGATTCACACTCAAACCTGCCGTCCTTTGCGAGATGATCTTCAAACTTGGTGCTGTTTGAAAAATCGCTGTCGCGTGCACATTTTTCGGCTACAATGAACCTTTATTATCCTATTGACGCCCACAGCGAATATGCCATCGCCATTAGGGCACTTTGTACAAGTGTACTGTTAATGTCCTTGGTCGCTTAGTGTTTGACTCGACTTGTTTGAGAAGTTGTTTCTCATACGACACTGTCAGATTAGCTTCTGCCCAGAATATGATATTTCGATTGCGAGCACCAACTTCTAGCTTCAAGTCATTCTCATTTCCCATCACACATTAAATCAGACATATCCCAGAGCTTTGACAGATGAAGCCGTTCACGCTTATCCCTAGACCAGTACAGATTATGCTACCCACGCCTTGTTGAAAGGACGCTTTGTAGCGTCATTATAATAAAATTTATATCAAGAACACAGTTCGGCGACCATGCTTCTTTGATGACATGCTCAATTTGTAAAATACAATTCTTCGTCATCAGTCAACTTCTACTCATGGGCTCACAATAGCTCAGTGGTTAGGACGCCACCTTGCGGACCGGAAGGCCCGTGGTTCGAACCTAACCTCAGCATCTCGACTGCTCCTATCGAGGCTTGAGCAACTTGGCATTATCCCAGCCCTCGTGCTTCATGACCAATGAAGCCTCTACGTATACAAAGTTACTTGCCATCTTTTCAGTTTTTTTTCTCATCGTTTCCTTTTTCGTAAGCGTTTTGGTCATATTCGTCTCGTCTGCTACTCTGGAACATTTGAACTCGTTGGTAGATCGTTGAGAACATTGGTTTGTTGAAATGTTCTCTGTGTGGTTGTTGGCACGCAATCTATACCGAACCTCCGTAGCTACGTAACGCAGTGTCTTAGCTAACTCCGGCGTTGTCCACTTCAGTTACTTATATTGTGACTTTCGTCAGTGTGTATTATTTCTGTCCCATTTATCATTCCAGATGTGTTGTCCCACCCACTTGACTGTGCTCTGCATATGCATCACAGTCAGTAAGCGATCTTTCCTGATCCCGATGTATCATTTTAGGCTCGGGGAAGCTGGAATTAGCCCTTGAGCACTTATAACACCTACATTCAAATTGACAGACCTATTCAACCTCAAGATCTCGTCTTATGGTTAAGTGCGTGTGGTCTTTCTCATTCATTGTTAAACCATTCAGCATTTTTTAATCATGTCCGAAGTTTTTAACTTGTGCCTTAAAGTGGACAAATTCGGTCACACTACCTTTGCTGCTCATTCCATCACCCCAAGAGGCAAAAATGCCTTCTCTTCACCTATGAAAATAATCACTTACTTGCTAGAGTCCAAGTATTCTAATCAAACTGTGGTTTTGTTCACTGAAAGAGAATAGGTCATCAGTGAATCTAACTCACGGACAATGATATTCCGCTCATTCCAGTTTTGTGTTCGGACACGGTTTTTGCTTTCCAACCCATAACTTATCTCGTCCATCACTGTGATGTTTGAATGTGTGGGCATCGTTCATATTAGAAACAGTTCTATCGAACCACAGAAGTGGTTCAAATTGCGTTTTGTACTTATGCAGCACCCCGAAGGGTTTTTTCACTCCTGTGTAATTGAGTACGAAGTTGCGACCTGTTCACTGGATAACTACGCCCGGTGACATTTTTGGAAGTACAAAAAACAGATAACCTCATTGGTCTTCCTCTTCAACAAGTGATTGCACCGATACAAGCAAATTAATAGCCTGTTTGAGTCACGTGAAGCATGGTACGGAATCTTGGTCATCTTTGTCGGCTAGATAGTAAGCGGTCGATAGATTGCGGCAAAATTCACTCCATCGAAAAACTGAGTGAACAAATTCTGAATCACTCCTTAGAGGTAGATTTTTAGAAAGCCTTCAATGAACTACAGACGTTAGTTTTTGAGGGCGTTACGCAGTATTGAGCAGCCCATAGATTGACTGGGTTACTCAGCCTCAGGATTATCTTTGAGGGATCCAAACGAGTTTCAAATCAGCTGAAGTTCGTAAATTGTGGACTAACGAAAGGAGGATATTTTCGGTCAATCTGAATAGATTTCCAGTTTGAACGGTTTCGGTTGCCTGGTTTGCCGCTGATGAAAAGAGAGGGCTTTATAGCCCTCTTTACATGGGATTTCACTTATGTGGTAGCTTAACATACCCCGATTAAACCTACAGCGTGGAACAATTTCCATTTTTCTGTAAAAAAACTCATTCAACAGGACAACGCCCTGCTGGTTTTGCATTTTAGTTTACGCTGATCTTGAGTGCTTTCTTGCCGCATATGCGATGCTATTTGAGAGTCCCTATGCACCGAAAAGTCACATCAATTGGACCCAAATTATGTGAGTAGCTACCTTTGCTGAAGTCGAAAGAAGCGAAGAAATCCAATAAAAACCCGGCTTCAGTGGTATTCTGCACAGTGTACATCCTCTAAAAAACCAGTGGTTTCATCCCAGTGTATTTTGCCCACTGGAAACAGTTATTGTGTAGTTGATCACTGTACTCTTAACTTCATGCTCCCATAAACCTTCAACCGGAACACGAGATATCCCATCCAACAGTGACAAGTCGGACGAACACTCAGTTCGTCCATTATTTCACTGTCCTCAGTCTGAACGACAAAAGCCGCAGAGTGAAGAGTCCTAAGTGTGAAGTGGCTTAGGACTCACAGGAAAGTTGTTCACGGTCAGAGGGGTTAAAGAAGGGCGGTTGCTGTTCCATTGACAACGGGTTCCCTGGATGAATCGACTAGTATAACATGAGCGAACATAGTCAACAGCGGTGTGAATCGGTAGAGGCAGAAAAATAGCAATGTGGCAGCAGAGCGTTCTCGGAAAAAGATTGCCAGTACCCAATCAACAGTCATGACAGTCGTTAACAAACCATCCTAATCTCAAAAACAAATGCCACTGGCCATTGTTCGCTGACATCGCGGAAACGATAAGGACCTCGGTTGTTGTGTATAAATTTGGATTGCGAAGCCTTTTCTAACAGGCCACAGTTCGTAGTCACAATGTCCCGTCCAATTTGTCTGTGTTGTTTCGGCGGTCGTCCTCTGCAAACTGCCAACTGGAATGCCTCCCTTTGGAGGATGACCTTGCCAAACTCAGGAAATTTCGGACACAGGTCACTCTATTGACCAAATATCTTCCAGAACATAACAAGACGTACTTTCCCTATATCAGACGTTTCAATTATTATTGTGCGAGTTGGTTCGATTTCTTCTTAGGTAAGTAAATTTTAGCACGTCTTCCCTGTAGTTATCCTATAACGTATGCAGCTGTTAGCGTAGCATGGACGGAACGTCTTACAAATGAGGTATACTTGACTAACCCTGTTATGTCAAACTTTTAAAATGAATTAGCGAACTCACTGCAGCTGTATGACTACCGATTTTAGACGCAGTCAACATCACATGTTCAACAATGGTCTTCTAAATGTGAATAGGTTTACGGTGTTCTCAAGACATCTTGGCTTGGTGTGTGACCTGAGTCCAACATTAGCTTCAGTTGATTTAAGGTGTATTCTTAAAACACTATCGCCAGCATGTGTTCAAACAAACACACCAGCTCGACTGAACCCATAAGCTAGGTTGGACAGCGTAAATTTGCTTCAGGTCAGCAAAACTGCATTCGCGGACATGATGGGTGTTTCCGGAAGGAGTGGGGCATTCAGCACCGAACACGTGGGATTGTGCGCTGTGCACTGCGTTGACACATTGCATTGTCTTGAGAAGTGCATGGCTTGCACAACTTGAATAATGCGTTCGTGGATTTCTCACCCACTGATGTTTCAAGCACTCGCTTGCATAGTGGATTGCGTGAACGAGAGCTCAAGTGGACCTTAATCTTCTTTTAACGTCTGTCAACCCAGTATGCAGTTCTAATGCTCAATTGAGCCGATGTTAAAGGAATCGTAACCTTGTCCTCATTAGCAAGTAACAGGTAGTATTGTAGAGGGTCTACGGAGCTCGATTATCTTGGATGTTTTCTTTGCGAATTGTTTCTGGTCATTATCAGCTGTTTCGCTCGCTGGTGAAATGCCATCGGGAATACGACCCCTAGGATTTCTCAGGATTCTCCCAAAATGCGATAAGTCCACAGCAAGCAGCTACACTAGACAGTGTTGTTCCTTGAGGAGGACCGGTGGACGGGTTTTTCCGTTCGTGCTTATGCGGAGCGGTATTTACATCGTTGAGCTTTCTCTAGGGAGCATAGACCACACGAAGACACTAAGGCGTAGCTAACTTTTGTCTCGGTAACTGCCGTTGAATGGATCTGGTTCAACTGTGTTGGACAGTGACTCTCAAAAGGGGTCTGTGTTGTTGGTAGAATCTACGCTATGATGACCAGCTTATCGAACCCGGTTAAACTATGCTGAGACTTGGTTTCGATTTTTTCAGTTGTTTTTAGCGCGTTGATTTTGCTAGCGATTTGGTTTCTGTTCAAGCATATATGTTGTGTTATTCCATTATCGTATGCTGAGCGCGAATTATCCGGCGCAGTGATTATTGGACAAAATATGGAACAGTAAACAATGCCGTGGTGGTTATGCCACTTATTCTCACACTGGGTGCATGACGTCACAGTTCCAGGTGTCTGATGTGTCGCAAAAACGAGCACATGTGTTGGTTCAATGACCACGCTTTCCCAGGTGCTAGCTGGTGATCCGAATATGTGATCATTGAAGATAAGAATTATGAAGTATAGTGGTTGTCGACAGCACTC